AATGTTTAAGGAACATAGGTGGAAACTTTATTTAATAAATATCTTTAAATTTTTTTAGTTGTAGATGGACACAATAGCTTTATTTTATTTGTCTATTTTTATATGGTGCTGGGGATCAAACTCAGTGCCTCATGCATGCTAGGCAAGTGCTCTGCCCACTGAGCCACAACCCTGGCCCTTATTTAATATTTTTAACTAGAGAGCTTTTTCTTTGTTAACTTGTGAATTTCTTCAATATTCTAGCTACTTACTTACTTTTCTACCTATCTACAGAGTTTTGCAATAATACCTTCTTATCGGACAATTTTATATAATGCAGGTAATTTTGATCTCTTGTTTATGTAAGTTCAAAACATTTCTGAAGTATGAGAAATTTTTTATATGTTTTGCAAATCGAGACAAAGAGAAATATCCATTTTTAAAAATGGTTAAGGTTATTTAAGGTTATTAACTTCACTATTAGTTTATATTGTGTTGGAGGTATTTCCTGAAAAAATAAATAAGATGAAGCAAATAGAGATACAAGAATTAGATGGGCCAGAGTGTAACTCCGTTGTATTGCTTAACTGAGCATGCTTCAGGTCCTGGATCCAAGTCCCAAAACAAACCAAAAATGTTTAGGAATTAGAAAGGAGTGGTTTTATTAACTATAGATAACATGATTGTATATCTGAAAAACCACAGGGGGAAAAATCATTGAAAAAAAATATGGGAGACATAGGTAAGTTAGGTGTGCCTGCAAAGGAGACCTATATACTGGGCATGCTATATACTGATTTGATGGTGTTTACACAACTTTCACATGGTTACATGAGCCAAAATTTATAAAACTGTACACCAAGAGAAACAAGTCAATTTCAATAGGAGAATGTCTTATAAAATATAAAATAAAATAAAATAAAATAAAAAGTTACTACAAATAATCCAAGAACAATTAGAAGAAAGATTGATACATTTGAAAAAAATGAAAAAAAATCAAACTTTTGCATGGCAAAAAATAGTAGTGTAGACCAAATAGTAAAAAAAAGATGAAATAGCATTTCAAAATTACGTTACAGAAAAACAAATGATATTTTCAACATATGAAGTGCTTTAAGAGAATTGACAAGAAATGCAAAAATCCTATGGAAAACTGAACAAAAGAAATGAATAGGCAGTCTACATGAAGAGAAAAAGAAATCGTGTTTGATCACGAGATCAAGAGATCAAAATTCAGATCATGATCTATGACTCCCATATTTTTTTCAATGATTTTTCCCCCTGTGGTTTTTCAGTTTCAAATTCTATTAAGCTATTTTCCACCCATTAGATGGGGGGAGAAATCCATAAATTTGATTATATATCCTGTGGATCAAGCTGTTGGGAATAGGTGCACCCCTTAGAAGAATTTAGCAATACATAGAAAACTATATATGCCTTTAATACTTTGATCTTGTAATCTCAGACTTAGGAATCATCTTGAACCTGTACTTCCAAAGACATAAAGGAAAATTTGATTTTTTAATGATGGCAAAATGCCAATCAAAAGAAGCAAATAAACTGTGACAAATTCCTATAAAGGAATATTATCCAGTTGTAGAGAGAAATGAGAAAGATATATACATGTTGATGTCATGTGACATCCAAAATATATTTTTAAGATAAAA